GGAGAGAGAGAAAGAGAGAGAGAGAGACAGATGAGAGAGCAAGGGAGAGAAACAGAAACAGACAGAGAAAGAGAAGAAAGAAAGAAAGAGAGAGAGAGAGAGAGAGACAGATGAGAGCGAGGGAGAGAGACAGAAAGAGAAGAAAGAAAGAGGAGAGAGAGAAAGAGAGAGAGAGAGACAGAGGAGAGAGCAAGGGAGAGAAACAGAAACAGACAGAGAAAGAGAAGAAAGAAAGAGAGAGAGAGAGAGAGAGAGAGACAGATGAGAGCGAGGGAGAGAGACAGAAAGAGAAGAAAGAAAGAGGAGAGAGAGAAAGAGAGAGAGAGAGACAGATGAGAGAGCAAGGGAGAGAAACAGAAACAGACAGAGAAAGAGAAGAAAGAAAGAGAAGAGAGAGAGAAAGACAGAGAGAGAGAGAGAGAAGAATTATATGTATTACAGAGCTAGGGGAGTGTGGGCTATCAAAAGAATGCATTTTTCTTAAGAGACTCTATAAAAGGGTGCTTTGAAATCCTGATGAATTCAATTACTGTTCTTCACTGGTAAGGAGAATTCCGTGAGGATCCAAGTGTCCGTCATGGTTAGATCCGTGGCATGCCGCCGCTTAAGCAGCTGGTCCTTTTGGGGAGCTCAGTGCTAAGATCCGGGAAATAGGACATCGGTGAGGTTGGGTGTCTTGTTGTCCCAGAATCCCGTGGCCGACTGTTCTTTGCTTTTGTGTGGTTGGTCCATCCCCCTGAGCTCTCGAGATGGAGAGTGACCTCACAGCCCTCGCTGATGTGCTGTTCTGACCGCCTTGCCCTGTGAAATGTTCTTCCAGTAAGTGGCTCTCATTGATTGTCTAGGAGAACAGAGGCAGCCAGTTAAAAGGCAGTGATCAATGCAGTCTGCTTGCCCTCCCACCAGATGGAGGGGAGCGCCCTGTACTTACAGGCTTAAGGCTGGAGCACGGAGGGACCTGTCGGCTTTGGCACCGAAAGCCCTGGACTTTTAGTCAAAGAACAGAGGTTCCGATCCCGTCTCTGCCACTGACTGTGTGATCTTGGGGCCACTTGCTTAACCTCCCTGGCCCTCAGTTTCCATATCTGTTAAATGAAGGAAAGGGGTTGGATTAGATGACCTCTGGAGTCATTTCCGCTCTACAACTACGATCATGGGACAGAATGAGCTGATTCCTTCTGTGTTGTAACATTTCCTTTGGGGGATAGGGGAAGGAAGAGAGACCAGGGTAATTTTTACCCATGATTCACAAAGCAGAGGTCATTGAGAATGGTTTATACGGTTGGCCATTTCCAGTGGGCTAGGGTTTTTTTGTTGTTGTTTTTGAAAGTCCCGAACAAAAGAGATGGGTGTTGGATTGGAAAGCCTTTTCCTCCCCTCCCCTCTCTCCTTCCTTCCGCATCGACTTTGATGTACCAGGGGCAGGCATGGAAGGATACTGTTTGTTCTCCTCAGGCTCGGGAAGCCTTGTGACAGGGATCCTTGGTGCCCAGGGTCATCAGAGACCTGGCCCTGGAGAAGACTAATTCTGATGAGCTTGACCATCCAATCCCAAAGAGAAATGGTAGGCCATTAGGGGAGAGAGAAGGAGAGAGGCTGGTGGGAGGTCCGCCAGCGAGGAAATGAGCAGCTCTGTATTAGTCATCCCGGATAGGGGCTTGGAGACTTCTATCTCCCTCGTGGGCGAGTGGCAGGCTGCAGAACAAGGAGGATTTTTCAATTGCTCTTCGCCATTTGAAGACTTTGGATAACTTGGCACTAACAGAGAGAGAAAGGTGTAAGTTAAAGGGTGATAAATTAAGATGGAAGGTATGGGTTCTGGTCCTGCTTTTATCACTGGCTTCATTGCATGGCCATAGAGAAGTCCCTTCTACCCTTTGGGTCTCCCTTTTCTCCTGGGAGAAATGAAGAATGTTTGTCCTCAAGTCTGACTTTCCTGGGTTTCAGTTCCCTCATGTGTCAAATGACGGGTTGGACCAGATATTGGCCTTTGAGGTCCCTTCCAGCTCGAAATCAAATGAGATAATATTGGTGATGCACATAGCAGGCGCTTAATAAATGCTTATTCCCATCGCTTCCCTAGATCAACAAACCCGTGACCCTGTGCTGATCTTGAGATTCCTGTGAATGTTTGGGATACTGGATGGTACACTGGGGTAAGGTATGACTATGGACCATGGCCTCGTAGAATGGAAGATAGGTGGAAGAGGCCTCCCACCTCGAGGCTACCTACTTTAGCCTCTTCATTTTCCAAGGGAGGAAACCGGGGCTCAACGACTTGCCTGTGTCAGAAGTGGGATGTCATGGGACTCAGAGCTGGGTGGGGCCTGGGAGGCCATTGCATTCAACCCCCTTGTTTTACAAATAAGGAAACTGAGGCCTGGGAGGGTTAGTGGCTTGCCTCATAGCTGGTCTTGAACTCTGGTTTCTCTGACTCCAGGGCCAACATTCTACTTGATTATACCCTGAAGTTATTTTGTTGTCTAGAATGACACCAGTTACCTAGAATAATTCAGGGGCCGATTCAGTGTTTCTTGAATTGAGAAGAAACCAACCCAAACATGCGTTTGTTTGTTTGATTATTTAATCCAGACCTGCTTTTATAAAACAGCAGTGTAGAAATGCATTCCTAAATGATTTATTGGCCTGGAGTCACCCAGATGAGATGTATTAGAGGCAGAGCTTCCTAACTCCAGAACTGGCCCTTAATCCACTAGCCTGCGCCACCTTGGTATTACTCTCACTGGTTATTCACATAATAAGTTTGCTCGCAACAATTTTGGGGAGTTGTTTGGATCTAATTGTGTAGGTTAGAGCCTTAGGGCCAGAGATGGAAGACATCTCATCTCATCTAACCTGGCTCTGGAGCATGACTGCCCTTAAGAGCATCTGTGATGGGTCATCATTAATTCTTGTCTTTATGACTCACAGTGATGGAGATCTTCCCTCTGACCTCCCCCGAAGTTTATAATCTACTGTGGAGTATGGGGTGGAATGGGGGACCACACATGGATGTTGTTGTCCAGTTGTTTTTCAATCGTGTCCGACCCTTCGTGACCCCATCTGGGGTTTTCTTGACAGAGACACTGGAGTGGTTTGCCGTTACCTTCTGCAGCTCATTTTACAGATGAGGAAACTGAGGCAGACAGGGTGAAGTAAGTGACTTGCCCAGGGTCACACAACCTAAATGTCTGAGGACAGATTTGAACTCAGGAAGTTGAGTCTTCCTGACTCAGCTATATAGGAAATCTAGAGAAAGTGAATACAAGTAATTTTCGGATAGATGAAATGCTAGCAAGTAGGGGAATCCCCAAAGGCCTCTTGTAGAGGTAATGCTGGAGCTGGGCTTAAAGGCAGCTAAGGTTTGGTTTTGTGTCTTCTTTCTCATGGGTTCCTCCCATCGGTTCTAATTCTTCTTTACAACATGACTAATGTGAAAATAGGTTTAATAGGAATGTGTATGTAGAATCTGTATCAGACTGTGTGCTGTCTTGGGGATGGGGGAGGGGAGGGAGGGGGAGAAAATTGAAAACTCAAAAGCTTATGGAAGTGAATGTTGAAAACTAAAAATAAATAAATTAAAAAATAAAGGGAGCTAGGGATTCTGAGGTGGGCGTGGGGAGGCAGGCACGTTGTATACAGAGAACAGTAAGGAGGCTGGTTTGGCTCAGCCAGAGAGTGCGTGAATAGTAATACCAGCCAGCGTTTACGTAGTGCTTACTGTGTGCCATAAACATTTTGTAATTATCTCATTTGATCTCCACAACAATCCTGGGACCTAGGTGCTATCATCACCCCCGTTTTACAGGTGAAGAAACTGAGGCAGGCTGTGGTGAAGTGGCTTGCCCAAGGTCACACAGTGGATAAGTGTCTGAGGTCAGATTTGAACTCGTGAAGATGAGTCTTCCTGACTCCAGGCCCTGCGCTCTATCTGCTAATCTGCAGTGAGCTTAGATCGACTTGGAGCCGGGTGGTGAAGGGCTTTAAATGCCCAACAGGGAGCACAGAAGATTCTTGAGGCGAGGTGACCTTTACCCTTAGCTAATGGCAGCTTCCTCTCTCTAGCCCTTGAAGGTTTACAAAGCATTTTACTGAAGAAGAAAAAAAACAAGCCCCTGGAATTTAAGGTAGTGTGGATGTGTCTTTTGTTCCCATTTTATAGATGAGGAAGCCAAGGCTCAGAAGTAGAACCTGTCCAGAGTCTGACAGAAGGTGCCGGAGGTGGTGTTTGGAGCGTCGTGCTCCTCTCCCTCCACCCCGCGGCTTCTGTTCATTCTTAGAATTCAGATCTTTTATTTTCGCTGTCTGTCTTGGTGGAATGGAAAGCACTCCTTGTCCTTTTTCATCGGCTGGAGCTTTCTTTATCTCTTCCCTGGGCAGGCAGCTTGGCCCACAGAGGGGGCAGGACTCTTCTTCCAAGATCTCCCTACTCACACAGTCCAATGTGAAGCCCACCCTTAGGCAGGCCGCTGGAATGTCGGTGAAGACATATGGGGGCCGGGGGAGAAGGAGGCTGTTTGTCCCCAGCAGTAAGAGTAAGACCTGTTGTATGGCAAGTTGTCTATACTATGAGAGGAACACCCTGGGGCCAACTGCAGCCAAGATCTCTCTTTCCCATTATGTAGAATCATGTAATGAGCTGGGAGGGCCCCTAGCACATGGAGGGTCAGAGCTGGGAGGGCCCTTAGAACATGGAATGTCAGAGCTGGGAGGAGCCTGAGAGCAGGGGATGTCAGAGCTGAGAGGAGCCTTAGAACAGAGGATGTCAGAGCTGGGAGGGCCCCTAGAACATAGCATGTCAGAGCCAGGATGAAGCTTTAAAGCAGAAAATGTCAGAGCTGGGAGGGCCCCTAGAACATGGAGTGTCAGAGCCAGGAGAAACTTTAAAGCAGAAAATGTCAGAGCTGGGAGTGCCCCTAGAACATGGAGTGTCAGAGCCAGGAGAAGCTTTAAAGCAGAAAATGTCAGAGCTGGGAGGGCCCTTAGAACATGGAATGTCAGAGCTGGGAGGGGCCTTAGAACATGGAATGTCAGAACTGGGAGGGGCCTTAGAACAGGGGATGTCAGAGCTGGGAGGGCCCCTAGAACATAAAATATCAGAGCTGGGAGGGGCTTTAGAACAGGGGATGTCAGAGGTGGTAGTTTAGTACATAAAACACTAGGCGCTGAAGCATAGGGCTAGAAGTTCTTTTCAAATTCTCTTTGCACACAGATATCTTTATATCTACTGAAATTAGAATTCTCTGTCTCAAGTCTTCACCTGAAGCTTTAAATAGACTGATACGATGCTAAACATTTCACTGAGGCCGCTTTAGCTTCAAGGCATGTGGTCTGATCAGGAAAACTTCAAGCTGAGCTCACAGTTCACCCCTGCATGAAGCCTGTCCCATCCCCCCAAGCTGATGAGGTACTCCCCCTAATTGCCCTGTATATAGTTTCTTGTTATCCTTTTCTATGCACAGTCAAGCAATAAACATTTATTAAGCACCTACTGTATTCGAGGCGGGGTGCCAAGCTCTGGACTTACTGGCTTCCCTGTGGAGCTTAAGCTGCCCGAGGGCCAGGACTGCCTCCTTTTTGTCCATCTGTCTTCAGGGTCTGACACAATTCTGTAGCCACTGAAATGTGTGTGGATTGATTTGTGTCTGGGGTTTCGGTGCTGGCCTTATCTCATCATCTGGGGCGGGGGGGGGGGGGGGGGGGGGGGCTCACACCAGCATGAAGCCTACATTCTAACAGGGAAGACAACAAGGACCTATAGAAATACACACAGCCTCAGTGTAGAGTGACTCAGTACAAATATATGCAGAGCGGTCAGACGGGACTCCCCAGACTTCCCCACCTCTGTCCCAGCAGCCTCCTCCCCAGGAGATGCCTCCGCCTCCAGGGGTCCCTCCCAGATGGTGCCCGGCCCATCCACATTGACTTTGCTCCCAGCTCTGCTCCTGACGTCCATGGGCATTTTTCTCCCCCTTTCCCTTTTCCTCAGTTTCTCCATCTGTAATATTACAGATGTGGACTGCATGGCATCTCAAGGCCCTTGCAGTTCCAAAGTGATGACTCAGTCAGGGGCATGAACTGGCTTGTTCTCCCAAAGCTTGTAATCTGCTTCCTGCTTTGTAAGACAAAGGCCAATCCCACTGTACGTTTGGGAACACAGACTCGTCTGCCGATGGGCTCAGATTTAGTGATAAGGAACATAGGGTCAGGAGTTTGCAGCGTCGCAGGTCTGGAGCTGGAAGGCCATTCAATCAAACCCCTTCATTTTACAAATGGGGAAACTGAGACCAGGGAGATTGAGACTTGCCCAAGATTCCACAGATAGGCAAGCATCCCCCGTGGGATTTGAACTCGGGTCCCTTGACTCCCAAGCTAGCCATCTTTTCAGTATATCCTGCCCTACAGGTTTTGTGTCTGACCTTGTCAGAGCCTATCCTGAATCCCATAAGTTAGATCCCAGGAGGGATTATTTGATTCCTTGTATTTGTATCTGTAGTGCCTAGTACAGTGCCTGGCACATAGTAGGTACATAAGGGAGAAGGGGGTACATATTTATATAGCCCCTACTGTGTGGTAGGCACTGTACTAAGACCTTTACAAAGATTATCTCATTTGATCCACCCTGGGAGGTAGATGCTATTATCCCCATTTTATAGATGGGGAAACTGAGCCAGACAGAGGTGAAGTGACTTGCTCAGGGTCACACAGCTAGTCAGTGTGATTGAGATACTAAGTCTTGCCTTCTATCCACAGCGTCATCTAACTCCATAATAAATATTGGTTGATTAATTGATTAATTCCCCACAACAACATCACCAACTCCCCAAGGTCACCAAGACTTGAACCCAGGTCCTCTGACTCCATATTGGCTATGTGGCTCATACCTCACTTCTCAGTGACATGAAACTCCAACCTAGAACATCTAGAACTAAGCAGCTTGGCTCTAGCACTCTCCAGTCTATGGAACGTTAGCTGTGTGGGGCAGCAGGAAAAGAGCTGAGCTTAGGTCAGGAGACCCAAGTTCAAATCCCAACCATTTTCCTAACTTACTAACTAGGTGACCTTGGACAGGTTGCTATCCCTATCTGAGCCTCAGTTTCCTCACCTGTTACATGAGGATGCTGAAGACTTGTGTTGTTGACCACACAAGCAGTTCCAAGGCTCCTATGAAGTTAATGGATGTAAAAGACGGTTAGGTACTCTCTAAACTTGGATGATTATTAGGTGGGAGCGGAGGGAGGAGGAGGCGGGGGGCAGGGGGTGAGGAGGATGGTTATCCTGGAAGGCTGGGCCTGGGCTGTGGACGGGGGCCACTGGTTTACCTTTCAGGCCTGGATCTTTCCTTCATAGGTATTCCACTACAGTGGCGCCAGGGCTGTGTCTTGGGGCAGATTGACTAATTAGGGTGGGTTTTTTTAATGTCTTCCAGCCTCAGTGAGAGTTTTTTCATGGTGAAAGGCGCTGCTCTCTTCCTGCAACAGGGAAACAGCGCCCAAGGACCGAGGAGCCTCCAGCAGCCCCACAAGCACGCAGGTAAGTACTTGGCCCTGGGCCATCATCATTCTCCTGCTTCCCCAGGTGTATAGAAGATGTCAGTCACTTACGTGGTCCTTTTATGAAGGAGGAATCTCAATAGAGCCCAGACAAGCCAGCCCCGGGTCACTTGTCCAGGGTCACTCGGAAAGTGTCAGAAGCCAGATCTGAACTCGGGTCTTCCAGATGCCAGCTCCATTTCTCTCTCCATTGCCTTGCCTCAGTTTCCTCATTTATAAAATGATGACATGGAATTAGATGAAAGTCTCATGATGCTGTGAGCCTGTGATTTGCCCGAGGTCACACAAGGTCACTGATCTACCTTCTTTCCACTGCATCACAAAACAGCCAGGAGAAATATTTAGGTGGCCCAGTGGGTAGAATACAGGACCTAGAGTCGGGAAGTTCTAAGTTCAAATCCAGCTTCAGACACTGACCATCTGTGTTACCTTGGGCAAGTTGCTTCTCCCTTTGCCTCAGTTTTCTCATCTGTAAAGTGGGAATAATGATAGCACTCCCCCATCCAGAATTGTTATGAGGATCAGCATTTGTAAAGTGTTTTGTAAACCTTAAAGGCTAAAAAAATGCTATCTCTTACTATTTAGTCTTCATGTCAAGAAAACCTTCCTAACGGAGCTGTTGTCCCCAAGTACATCGACTGCCTTGTGTGCTCCCATCACCCTTTTCAGGGGTACCATAGAGAGGATTTTTTTTTAGGCAATTGGGGTTAAGTGACTCGCCCAGGGTCACACAGCTAGGAATTGTCAAGTGTTTGGTTTGAGGCTGGATTTGAACTCAGGTCCTCCTGACTTCAGGGCCAGTGCTCTATCCACTGCGCCACCTAGCTGCCCCTATAGAGGGGATTTTTGTTGGGGTACAGGTAGCCTCTGTGATCAAAATCCAGTCAACTGAGAATGGCTGGAAACCTGGAATCCAGAGGCCTGTGACTCATTCCCTTCTCTACCTTTGACTTAAGGAACCAAGGGTCAACTCACTTGGTGGAAAGAGGGCCAGAGACCTTGAGAGCACCCAAGGAATCCTGTGGTGGGGGCACAGTGTGGAGCTCTGTATGCCTGGTACTTAGTAAACACCTCGGAATAACAAAGACCGAGCGTGGGGACCGGGCTGGGCCTGGGATTTCCATCTGTCAGCATTTCCATAAATCAGCCAACAACCCACTGAAAGAATTTTATCCATATGGAAAATATCCCTTGTGTGAAACCATTCGTCAAGTGTTGGGCCAGGCAGAGGTGGGCAGTTCATAGTTAGTTTTTATCTCACTCCACTCTAGAATTTCGTGAATCATGGCCATCAGTAGTCACTTGTACTGAATTTAAGGGTTATAAGGTGGAGGTGAGGCCAGGCCTGTCTCTGGATAAGGAATAGGTAAGGCCACTTGCTTGTGGTCGTTCAGGGGTAGCTAGGGGTAGGTCAGGAGCTTCATAGCATTGGTCCAGTAGCAAGGCCCCTGCATTTGCAGTCAGGAAGGCCTGGGTTTGATTCTCTCCCTGCACAAGTTACTTCACTTTTATGGGCCTCAGTTTCCTCATCTGTAAAATGAAAAGAAAGGTTTACTAGCTGTATGACCCTGGTTAAGTCACTTAACCTCGATTACCTCACCAAAAAAAAAATGACCCTTGAAACGCCCCTTCCAGCCTTCTTAATCTATGTTCCCTAAATGTTATGATTCTGGGAGGTATCATTATGAGATGATGTCATTTCTGTGTGAGGCTGATGGCGTGTGGTTTCTCCATGTTTCCTTTGAAGCAAGAAATGACATTGGAGTGTCCTGTATGAACTTGAGAGATAACATTGCAGAATGGGTAGAGGACCTGGGTTCCAATCCTGCCGCAGTCACTTATAAGCCTTGACAAATCACTGAACATGTCTGGGCCTCAGTTTCCTTGTCTGCAGAATGGGACAGGAATGTGGACTCAGTGGTGTGTACGGTCCCTTCTAGTTCTAAATCCATAATCCTATGATTCCCACTCTTGAATACCTTGCAGTACTTTTCTTGAACCTCTTTTTCCTTATAATGTACATTGGAGCATGAAAATTGTTATGTATGCCTTCTTGCCCTAACGTGTACATCATCTCCATGTCTATGTATGTGCCTTCATTCACATATACATTTATATATCCACACATACACATATATGCACATGTACATAATATGTGTATTGTGTATATGTACATGTGTGTATATATGAGAGTACATGTAAATGGCATTAAGAACACATACATACGTATCCATGTATGCTTTCAATATGGGGGAGACGGGGTGTCTTTGTGTATTGGCTATCCGCAAAGTCAAAATAGAGCTTCAATTCCTAATTAATAATAATAGCTAGCATATTTATAGCCCTTACTATGTGCCAGATATTGCACTAAATGCTTACAATTTTTATCTCATTTGATCCTCTCAACAACTCTGAGAGGTTGATGCTATTATTATTCTCATTTTAGAGTTGAGGAAACTGAAGCAAACAGGGTTAAGTGACTTGCCCAGGGTCACACAGCTTGTAAGTGTCTGAACTCAGACAGATTTGAACTCAGGGAAGATGAGTCTTCCTGACTCCAGGTGCTCTGTGCACCATGGCGCCCCCTGGCAGCCCATTAGAGATACAAAGACAAAACTAAAAGTAACCCCAGCCTTGGGGGAGCTGACTTTCTTCTGGGGTATACAGCCTATAAACACAGGATAGAATCATAGATTTATGATTAGGCAGGGAACCTAAGGCCATCAAGTCCAATAACCTCTTTTTGGGGAAACTGAGGCTCAAAGACTTGAATGGCATGCCCAGAGTTACAACAGTCAAGATTCAAGCTGAGGTCCTGCTCTGATGAGGAGGGATAAAGCAACCAGAGCAATCAGGGAGGACTCCCTGTAGGAGGCAGCACATGTGTGCCAAGCCTTGGAGGAAGCTAGGGAGATACTTGGAGGGAGAGCATTCCAGGAGGGGATGCATGGCAGACAGCTGTTATTAAGACAAGTGAAACAGTATCGGTAGGCCGTCTGATACATGGCAATGATGGGAACAGCATCTTCAGGGAATGATCAATAGCTAGCTCACCTTTCTTCCTGAGGGCCTCCTAATGTGAAAAGCCCTGTGCAAGGCACCCTGGGAGAGATGAAGTTGAGTAAGAGGCAGTCCTTGCCTTCTAGGAGCTTACATTCTAGAATGGGAGATGAGATGTGTACATCAGCGATGGCGCTACATTTCTTAAACCCTTGGTGAACAAATTCAACTCTACACCATCCTCCTGTCTTGAGTCCCAGCTTTGGATCACTCCCACCATTCACCACCTTCCCTCTCTCTCTCTCTCTCTCTGTCTCTCTGTCTCTCTGTTTCTCTCCTCTCTCTCTGTCTCTCTGTTTCTCTTCCCTCCCTCTCTCTCTCTCGTCTTTCTCCCTCTCTCTCTCTTTCTCTCTTTTGCACACACACACACACACACACACACACGTGTTACTAATCGCACAACCATTCTGACTGGGCCCTCTATGTTACATAACCTCAGCTGGGTCCTCATTGCTGCTCAGCGATCCTACTATCATCTCACTCTTCCATTCTCTATAGTGGATCTTCCAAACCTCCCATGAGTCCCCCCTCCTTTCACCCTCTCAGCTGAGTACCTATTGCCTTTTATTTTACCAGAAAAAAAATAAGTATTTGCCATGAGCTCCCTCTTCTCCCCTCTTCCTCATTTCCTATCAATTATCTGCCACCATCTCCTCCTTCACCCCCAAGTCACATGATGAGATGGCCTCACGCTTTAACAAGGCTAGCCCCTCTACTCGTTCTTGTGACCCCATTCCATCCTGTCTCCTCCAACAAATTGCCCCCTCTGTCTTCCCTACTCTTTCACTTATTTTCATTCTCTCCCTCTCTGCTGCCTACTGCCTATGAACATGCCCATGTCTCCCCCATCCTCAAAAAACCCTCACTTGATCCTTTTATCCCTGATAACTATTGTCCTATATCTTTATAGCTAAACTCCTCAAAATGGCTGTCTACAATAGGAGCCTCCACTTTCTCCCCTCCTCTCTCTCTCTCTGTCTCTGTCTCTCTCAGTCTCTCTCTCTCTCTCTCTCTCTCTCTCTCCCTCTCTCCTTAACCCCTTAAATTCTGGCTTTTGACCTCCTATTTCCACTGACTTTTGACCTCATATTTCCACTGAAACTGCTCTCTCAAAGTTACCAGTGATCTCTTAGTGGCCAAATTCAATGGCCTTTTCTCAATCATCATTTTCCTTGATCTCTGCAGCCTTTGAAACTGTTGATCACTCTTCCTTAATACTCTCTTCTCTCTAAGTTTTCAGGACACCTCTCTCTCCTGGTTTTCCTCCTCCCTCTCTGACTGCTCCTTCTCAGTCTCCTTTGCTGGATCCTCCTCCAGATCATGTCCTCTAACCATAGGTGTCCTTCATGGGTCTGTCCTGGGCCCTCTTCTCATCTCCCTCTATACTACTTTACTTGGTGATCTCATCAGTTCCCATGAATTGAATTACCATCTCTATTCTGATGATTCTCAAATCTTCCTTTCCTGCCTCAGTTTCTCTGCTGACCTTCAATCTCGCATCTCCAGAGGCCTTTCAGGTGTCTCAAACTAGATGTCCAATAGACACCTTAAACTTGACACATCCAAAACAGAACTTATTATCTTCCCTCCAAACCCTTCCCTCTCCTACCTTCCTTATTACTATTGAGGGTACCACCATCCTTTCAATCCCTCAGGCTTCCAACCTAGAAGACATCCTGGATTCCTCATTCCCTGTCACCCCCATATCCAGTCTTTTGCCAAGGCCTGTTAATTTCACCTGTACAGCACCTCTTGTTAATCAGAATCTTTCATCAATTTCACCTTTGCAGCATCTCTTGTCAGTTTCACCTTTGCAGCATCTCTTGTCAATTTCACCTGTGCAGTATCTCTG